TATAGCGTCTCTCGATCCCTCCTAGAGCGTAGCTCCGAAGAGCCCCGCTCTGAGAAGTGTGGCCAAGATGAGAGCGAGAGAGTGAGCTAGAGCTAAGAATATTGAAGATCACCGTAGATAGTTTTTATAATGTACAATACATAATAGCAATTTGCATATACGATAAACAAGTTATTTAAAAAATGGGTCTAAATCCTGGAATTTTGACAAAACTATTTATAATCTAAACATAAGTGTTTGTAAACTGGTGGTCAGTGTCCTTGTATTAGGCAAAAGCAAGTATAACTTTAATATAAACTTTAATAATGTTCAGTTATTGTTCCTGGATTGATGTCCGTAGATAGATAAACATCCTGGTATGTTATATAGTCCTTAATCCGATTAACTTGTTTGTTTACTTTTACGAAAAAGTCTTACACTTCTGTATCCTTCTTGAATTAGGGGTCAGTGCACTCTATCATGAGTACATTTTAATATGCTTATTTTATTTTCTTGATTAAAATAATTGTCTCAAAGCCTATAGGTTTACAAATGTACAATTTACTGTAACCAAAGTGACATTCCTGTTTGTACAAAGTGTCTAGCATCTGATCAACACTGGGTCATAAGTTATCAGAAATTTTACAGATTGTGGGCGAGAAAAAGAGCAAAATCATCAAAGATCAAATTGAATTTAAGGAAACAATTTATCCAACCTACATGGACATTGCCTCTGATGTACAAAACAGAATAAGTCAGTTAGAAAAGGAGTATGGAGATCTTTCAACAGCTTTAACAAAACATGGAGAGGACTGGCACAGAAAAATTGACCAACTTGTCAAGAAACTTAAAGCTGAAGTTGCTGAGATGAAAATCACACAGTTAAAAACTCTACAAAAACATCTGGTTGAAATGAACAAGAACATTACTGAAATCAAGGATGTAGTCAATTCAGCTGAAATAGCTTTAGATACACAGGACATTTCAAAACTATTTGCTGTTAAATCCAATTTAGACAGATATAGAAAGCTTCCACAAGAGATTGTTATTTCTAATCTTAAATTCTTGCCTGGGAAAATTCAACAAAAAGAACTCAGTAATCTGTTTGGAACTTTATTATCAAGTTCTTTAACTTCAGATGAACATGGCTACAGCATGAAGACAACACAGAATTCCCCAGAAGCTGGATCCTCTTCTCCAGTCAAACACCTGCTTGATGAACCAGAGACTGTCACCACCATAGACACTGGGTACAGTGAACTTTACAGTGTGGCTTGTCTGAGTGATGAAGGAATCTGGACAAGTGGAGATGACAACACCATGAAACTCTTCAGCATCAATCAGGGATCACTACTTAAGTCAATCACAACCACGTCAGGGAACTGGCCAGAGGACAAAGCAGTGACAAAAATTATGGATCTTGTTTATACTGATTACCATGATAGAACTGTGAACATTGTGAAGAATGAGGAGGTGATCAAACTACAGAACTGGGGACCTGATGGTATCTGTAGTACCTCCTCTGGTGACCTCATGGTTATCATGATCAGTGATGATAACAAACTGTTACAAACAAAAGTTGTCCGTTACTCTGGTTCCACAGAGAAACAGACCATTCAGTTTGATGATCAAAGTAAACCTCTCTATTCGATTGGTGATCATAACACATACTACATAACTGAGAACAGAAACTTGGATATCTGTGTGTCTGACAGTAGAGCTAGAGCAGTAGTGGTGGTCAATTAGGCTGGGAAACAGAGATTCAGGTACACTGGACATACTCCTGCTCCGAAGAACAAACCATTCTATCCTCTAGGAATCACCACATACAGTCAGTGTCATATCCTTACAGCTGATCCTAAAAATGACTGTGTCCACATCATAGACCAGGATGAACAGTTCCTCCATTACATAAACTGTGGACTGAGTTATCCCTGGGGACTGTGTAAAGATACAAATGACAATCTGTTTGCCGCTCAGTGGGGAAACAGACAAGTGAAGAAAATCAAATATCTCAAGTGAATTCTGCTTATGTACTGTAGTTAAGCATTTTAATATGGTGATTCACAAATGAACATTCACATTTTGTTTTTATACTATATCTCTTTCAAGCTTAGTTAAATGATGGATGTGAATGTTCAGCTAAAATCAAAATATAACAAGCTAATTCAGAGAATTCGTTTCCCCCGCTTAGGGAAAAAGTCGGATCCCCCTGACTGAATTTGTAGAATGATTAAATGTATATATGTATACTAAAGCAAATAAAATACATGTATGTCAATATAAATATAAAGATTTGATTGCTTATTCTTCAATATGTGTATAGAAGATTCTTTTTTATATGGAATATTTATCACACTGTGATGATGATTTTATGAGTTTGTACAAGCCAGACCTCCTAAAATTTTCATTCCACATGCTGAATACTTTCATTTAGTAAAAAAAATGTATTTTGTTATGGGTAGAATAACCCTAAATGCCAGCAAAGATCAATAACACAATTTAAACTTAACAATAATTTATTTACAGTAATATATAATAAGTATATGAAACATAAAGTACAAACTTAGCAAGAATCTAAAAATACATACATCAGAGTGTCCGTTGCTGCACACAATGTCCCAGTGAAAATATATATCCCAGTTATATCTCAATAGTGCTTATACGACAAAGTCTCTCTATGCATCGAATTGACAGGGTATTTATACAGTATCATAAATCTAGAATATTCTAGAAGTTGTGAGTCTATGATACTACTGGAAAGTTATGGACATATACAAAGTTCAGGAATGTTCTAGAAAAAAATGACCAACATGTTGACCACTCTGGAATGTTCAAGAAACTTAATGTTACTAATAATAATCATGATGAAACAATACACATCTCATAACACCTCCCCCCTTAAAAAGTTTGAATGTCAATGAAAACTTATATTGTAAAATGAAATACATGTACATTAATACAAAATCATATATATTCACCAACCCCTAACAAGGCACTGCAATAACACTGTCTTTGCCTTTGATATGCTTAATTTTTTATGTTTATTCTTTTAACAAAAAAACCCCATCTAGTCAGTCTTTGATTTTTGTTTGACAATTTATGCAAAAATGTCAGGGGGTTGTGATCCATATAAAAATTGGATGCAAAGTAACATTAAATAAACATCATAATGCTGAAGGCTAACAACAAAGCAAGGCATTCCTTTTCAATGGTGGAAATTTTTTACATTTTTAAGTTTCTTTAAAATAAGAAAAAAAATTTTATCAACTTTATCACTATTTTTTGAAAAAAAAGCTGCCCCATTCCAACATCACTAGCGTCAACAGTAAGCTTAAATTGCTTAGAAAAATCTGGAGTTGACAGAACGGGGTTTGCTCAAAAGGGGACAGATTTGATTTTATAAAAGGATTTTTAACAGTCCTTTGTCCATTAATTTTAATTTTTGAAAAGATTTGTAAGTGGACTAACTACTGGGGAAAAAATTTTGGGAAAAATTTTTTTGTAAAACCCAGCCATGCCCGAAAACCTCTTTAAACTCTTTTTTGTTTGTAGGAATCGGGAACTTTGAATAGCTTCCACTTTAGCCATTATGGGTGTAACATAACCTTGACCTCTTTATACCAAAATACTCAACATAAGCATGACAAAATTCGCTTTTCCCAAAATTCACAGTTAAGTTTGCTTTAGCTAAAATGTCAAATAAAGCACGCATGTTTTAAAGATGTTCATCCCAAGTGTCACTGTATATGTTTAATTTTTCAAAATGTAGGCCTTTTTCCCCCCAAGGCTTGAAGAAGGGAGTGAATCATCCTTTGGAATGTAGCTGGGGGTTTTTCATGCCAAAAGGCATTACTTTTAGGGAAAAGTCCATCTGGGGGGTAGCAAAAGCAGATATTTGTTTTGCTCTTTCTGTTAACGGCACTTGCCAGTAGCCTTTAAATAGGTAAAATTTTTCCCGACAAATTTGGCGTTTCCAATGTGGTAAAACAGCTTCAATTCAGGTAGTGGATATGAATCATTTTTCGAAACAGAATTCACCTTTCAAAAAGTTGTAAATAACCGGAAGGACCGCCCCTGTTTGTTACAAGAATACACGGTGAGCTCCAATCACTTTTACTAGGTTCAACAATGTCATTGTCCAACATGTACTGCACTTCCCTTCTTAGGTACTGCAATTTTATTGGATTCAACGGTACGGATGTTGTTTGATAGGCAGAAGCCCACTCACTATGACATCATGACAAGCTTTTAAATTTTCCTTTTGGGAAACACCCGAAAAGATTTGATGATACTATTCATCAAGTTTTTAACTTGTTCTTTTTGGTGAATGTTCAAATGCCCCAAGTTTGGCATCAAAGTCACCCAAAAATTTTTGAAGTTTTTCAAGGGGAAATTTTATTACAACCCTTTCTATTCATCTTTTTACACTCGTATCACTTTCAATACAATTTTGAACAGTCTTAGCGTTGGCTAAAGTGGAAACTGGTTTTAAACCAAATTTTAATTAACACCTTTAAAAAACTTTTTTAAAACATTTTAAAATTAAAAAGTTTTCTCTTTAGTCCCCGGGTGTTTTAAACTAATAGTTTACATCACTGATCTTGCTTTCAATTTCAAAAGGGCCAAAAAAATTTGGCCTGTAAAGGTTACCAGGAATAGGAAAAAATACAAGAACCTTATCACCTGGTTTTAAACCCCTTTTCGGCATCTTTGTCATACCACATTTTCATTTTCATCTGAGAACTCTTCAAATTTTCTTGTGTAATTTTACAGCATTTAAATTTTTTTTTTAAATCAGACACATAATCTAAAAGATTAAGATCACTAGTCTCAGTCAGCCACTTTTCCTTCAACAATTTAAAAGGCCCCCTAACAAAAAAGCCCGAACACCAATTCAAAAGGACTAAACCCAAAGAGACTCCTGGACTGCTTCTGCGGGAAAAGCACAAATAACCCCTTTTTAGTCTTTTTCATACTGGTAAAAATAGGTCTTCAGCATTTTTTTTTAGGGTTTGATGAAAACGTTTTTAAAGCGCTCCCGGGGGACTCAGGATGATAAGCAGTTGATCTATATTGCCTTATACCCAACTCATGCATGACTTGCTGGAACAACCCCGACATAAAATTTGAGCCTTGACCCGACTGAATTGCCTTGGGTGCTCCTACAAAACTAAAAAAATTTTTGGGTTTAAAGGGCCTTAACTATGTCTTTCCCTTTTAAATTTTCCCAGGGAATGGCTTCAGGAAATCGAGGGGAATGTATACATAAGGAAGAAATTTTATTTTAGATCTAGCCCTAGGAAAAAGGCCGGAAAAACCCCCAACACTTGACTTAACGGTTCTTCAAAAGCTAAAGGGGTTTGGGAGAGGGGGGATGGATTTTTCTTTTTGGTTTACCTACCATCGGGACAAACATGACATGACTTAAAAAAATTTCCCAAAACATCCTTTCTTAGTTAGGCCAATAAAAATGACTCAAAATCCTTTTATAATTTTATTGACACCAAATGACCTGCCATAGGTGTATCATGAGCTAAACTCAATACATCTTTTTTACCAAAAGAGCGGGAACCACTATTTGGTGAACAACACGCCACACTTCTTTGGGGGAAGTGTCAGGTGGTCGCCATTTTCGCATAAGGATGCCATTTTTAAATATAGAAGCTTTCCCTCCAAGGCCTCTTCTGGTGGAAGTGCCCTCTTACTAAGTTGGATGATATCGGGGTTTCTTTATGTTGTGCTAAAAGTAACTGCTCTCGGCTTAGGATATCCTTGCTTTTTTTCAAAATTTTTAAAATCATCTTCATCACCACTAAATTTTGGAAAAAATTCTTTCTTCTCTTGCTTCTTGATATGGCGTGGTTCCATGCTTGTTTGAGTGCCATCAAGGTCAGATAAAAAAATGTCATTCAAATCAATATCAACAGAGGAATTCGTCTCGTCAAAGGCTTGAGTATGGTCTGCCTCCATTTTTCTTCTGGCCATCGCTCTTCAGCAAGGCCCCGGGTATATGTCATCATCTTCATCATAAAACATGACATCTGGATTATTTTTTTACAAACTATAGGAAACCGGAAAACTTTTCCAAACCCGCTAAAATTTTTTGTGGAACAACGAAATGCCTGGAACGGGGGGAAAAGGTCGAACACCACGAAAAACAGGTCCAATAACTAAATCTGACTTCAAACTAATTCTATGCAGGGGCATCAATGACGCCTAGCTCCACACCCTGTAATAAAACTGACCCACCAGAGAAGTCTGCTCAGACAAAGGAAAAACGCCCTTCAGCAATAACGTCTGTGCAGCACCGTATTTCAAAATCTGGACAGGTTTTTTTTTTGGTTTTAGTTTTCCCAGTGAAACAAATCCCTGAAACATAAAGGGCTTTAATCCTCCATAGAATCAGTAGAACTGGACTGTGAACCCTGGACATCAGGAGTGTCAGAAAAAATTGAAACTAAGGCTTCTCATCACCTCTAACTGCCGCAAAGCCCTGTGGTTGAAATTTTTTTAAAAACATTTTTTCTTAAGGGGGGGACTATAGTTTTATTGTGTGAAAAAACCCAAAAGGAAATTTTTCATTTTTATACCATATATAAGTTACATTAACTTCAGTGTACATGCAAAGTTTTGGGGGGAAAATTTTCCGTCCAGGTATTTTTGAGGGACCGTCTCAAAAAAAGGAATTTTTTTATAGGATTATATAGGAAAAAGCCAATTTTTAGCACTTTTAAGCAAATTATACAAATTCACAATAGACATTTTTTTTCAAACTATAATATTTGTTGAGTAATACTATATTATACAATATATGTAAAAAAAAAATTTACCGTCTTGTTACCTGAAGGGGGGATTAAAACCCAAAAAAATTTGAAAAAATTTTCTATTTTTATAGAGTATTACAAAAAAAGACTACAAAATGGATTCACATGAAAACAAAAAAATTATTGGAGATATTCTCAAATTTTAAGTTTTAAATTTCAAAATCGTAT